TCAACCTTTGACCCTAATTTTAGTTACAATAATAATAATGAAAATAATTTTAAATTCTTAAATAATATGAAAACCGTTTTAAAAATTGTGCCAATAACAATGAAAATCATTTTAAAATTTTTAATAAAATGAAAATCGTTTTAAAAATTACATTAATAATGATAAAAATAATTTTAAAATCTTAAATAATCTAAGAATCATTTTAAAAATTATACTAATAATAATGAAAATAATTTTAAAATTTTTAATAAAATGAAAATCGTTTTAAAAATTACATTAATAATGATAAAAATCATTTAAAAAATCTTCAATGATAAGAAAACCGTTTAAAAAATTAAATTAATAATAATGAAAATAATTTTAAAATCTTAATATGAAAACCGTTTTAAAAATTACATTAATAATGATAAAAATCATTTTAAAATCTTAAATAATCTGAGAATCATTTTAAAAATTATACTAATAATAATGAAAATAATTTTAAAATTTTCACTAATATGAAAATCGTTTTTAAAAAAAAAAAAAAAAATCAATAACTAACACATTGCATTATCATTTTCCAATATTAATCAAAAAATATTTTTTGAAATGAAATGGAAATGAAATGAAATAAATGAGTGAATGAATGGATGAATAAAATAAAATGAATTGATTCTTTTTTTTTATAATTTTTTTTTTTTTAATTTTTGCAATCATTATAATTTGATGAAATGATAAATGAGATGATTAAAATAAAATGATTCTTTTTTTATAATTTTTATAAAACATTATAATTTCCCAAAAGAATTTAAAGTAAGTGCAAAAATTATTAATATTAATATTTAATTATTTAAATAAAAATTAATATTAACGAATGAATGAAAATTATTTAAAAAAAAAAAAAATGCATTGAAGAGAAATTGCATTCAAATAACAAAAATTCTTATTTTGAACGATAAAAACTATTTCATTTTTTTTTGAATTTCATTCAGAACTTAATTTTATGTTTTTTTTTTCTTTCATTTTTCTAAAATATCAATCAAATAAGAGAAGATCAAATGAAATAGAAAAGAAAAAAGACAAAAATAAAATGAAATTGAAATAATATAATTTTATAGAAAATGAAAAATGAAAAAGAAAAGTGAAAAAATATCTCTCAGAGATTCGAGAAAAAAGACAGAGAGAGAAAGAGAGAGAGACAAAGAAAAAGACAAAGTTATTCGAAAATGATTTTTAAAAATATTAAATAATAATTTTTTTTTTCCATATAGCAATCAATGTTAATTCAATAAATTTTTTTATTTTCTTTTAGCTAAAATAAATTATTTTGTTATGTTAGTTCAGAAAGAGGAAAAAATTCTAAGAAAAAGGTAAAAAAAGAACGAAAAAAAAAAGAGAAATAGAAATAATTAAATATGGTGGAAAAAAAAAAAGGAAATTGACAAAGAATTATGAAAAGGAATTCCGGATGATGTAATATGGAAGAATTTCCGTATTTATTTGTTAAGCAAAATATAAGGCTGAAAGGAATAACTCATATTAAAATGATGAAAGCAACGAATAAATCATTTTACGGATGCTTACTTCACGTAATAAGTAATACTTAGAAATGTTTATAAATGAATCATTTTACGGATGCTTACTTCACGTAATAAGTAATACTTAGAAATGTTTATAAATGAATCATTTTACGGATGCTTACTTCACGTAATAAGTAATACTTAGAAATGTTTATAAATAAATCATTTTACGGATGCTTACTTCACGTAATAAGTAATACTTAGAAATGTTTATAAATGATTTTAAAAAATGGAAATGAAAGAAAAGAAAAAAAATGAAGAATGTTAGAAATTAAAGTCGGAAGAGAATTTAAAGTCAGGCTAGCATTTATATGACAATCTTGCAATTGTCGTAAAATTTATTTCATTTTATTTTTTCACATTTTTTTTTCAGCAATTTTTTTTTATCAGAATTTGAAAATGAAAAAAAAAAATGATAAAAGATTTTTTTTTTTTGCTTCTTTTCCTTTCTGAATTGAATAAAATTTTGTTCATTTTTGAATTCGTTTTTCTTCTTTTTTTTTTTAATTTATTATAAAATTTATTTGCATAAAAAAAAATTATTTTTCTAATTTGCAGCAAAATATTTGGATTATTTGGAATAAATGTAAAAATAATTGTAAAATATGCAGCAAAGTTTAGAATTATTTGAAAAAAGAAAGAAAAAAAAAACATTGAAATAATAATAAAAATTTAGCAAATGATAAAATTTGCAATAAAATTGAAATTTTTTTTTCAAAAAAAAAAAGAAACCATTTATTACGATATTTTTATGTCACTAAATATTATTACATTATTATATAATTTTTCATTGCACAAATTTTTTTTGTAGTATTATATAAATCATTTTTTTTTTTTTTTTGAAATATTATTACTTTACTCATCTCTCATTTTGAATTTGCATATCCCATATTTTTGATTTAATTAAATTGACAGTACAATGTTGTCGATGATGAAGATGACTCATGATGATGATGATGATGACGATGACTGATGTTGATGATGACAATGACCACAATCTTGCTGATGATGGGAATGATGATTACAATGGCATGATGATGTTGATTACTATCTATAAATGTCGATGATGATGGTGATTGGTGGTAATGATGATAACTGATGATAACGATGATCTTCATCATCACACTCATCATGACTCGTCTTCACAAAACGAATATTTGAAAAGCGCCTTATCAATATTTGTATATGTATTTCGATGATAATGATGACGATGATTATTGATGATAATTGATGAAATGAATCTATGTTGATGTTAATAATAATGATAATGATGCTGTGGTAATGGTAACGATGAGTGGTGATGATGATGACGATGACTATGATAATTGATGATGACAATGATTATTGATCATAAGTGATGATCACAATCTTATTGATGACGGTAATGATGATAATGATGATTACAGTAGTATGGTGATGTTGATCACAATCTATAAATGTTGATGATGATCATAACTGATGATAATGATGATAATTGATGATAACGACGATGATCATCATCACACTTATCATAACTTTTCTTCACAAAAACAAATATTTGAAGAGTGCCTCATCAATGTTTGAATTATTCCAATTCATTTATTCCAACGATTTATCTATTTGAGCTTAACAAGCTTAAAAATTATAGCGAAATGTTCAGAATACGATTTCATTATTATTTGAGAATATTCTTCCTGTGTTAGATGAATAATTTGTACAAAGATTACCCAAAACAAACTTTACTTACCCGAGTGAGAGTTGAAATTAAAATTCAATTCTAATTTAATTATACTTAACATATTTGATCTAATTTTCAATTAAGACTCATCTAGCATAGATGATAAGGATAAATTTTTATATACCTGCTACAATTTTATTCACAATTGTTTTAAAATAATACTAGTAAAAAAAAAAAATTTATTTTATATCAATTAATTAATGAAATCAATCGATTAGTAAATTAATTAATCAATTAATAGTTTCTGTAAAAAAAAAAATTTTTTTATTTTTTTTCCAATTGAAAAAAAAAATAAAAAAAAAAGAAAAAAAATGAATGGAATGAATGAATAAATAAAATAAGTAAATGTCATTGTATGAAAGAAAAAAGAAAAGAAAATTCTTTCTTTTTATTTCTCATTTCATTCTACCACAAAAAAAAAAAAAGAATTATTCGGCGAAAAATTATTCACTTATTCGAATAAAAAAAAATATTGGCAAAACTGTATGTTGTAAAAGAATATAAAAAAAAAAAGAAGAAAAATAATTTTCATCTATTTTTCCTTTTATTTTATTTTTTTTTTTAATCAAATAAATTAGAAAAATAGAAATTTGATTCAAAAGTTCAAAATAAGCAAAATTTGTTAAATTTCATTTTTAAATAGGCAAAATTTGTTAAATTTTATTTTTAATAAGCAAAATTTGTTAAATTTTATTTTTAAATAAGCAAAATTTGTTAAATTTTATTTTTAATAAGCAAAATTTGTTAAATTTCATTTTTAAATAAGCAAAATTTGTTAAATTTCATTTTTAAATATGTTAAATTTCATTTTTAAATAAGCAAAATTTGTTAAATTTCATTTTTAGCAAAATTTGTTAAATTTCATTTTTAAATAAGCAAAATTTGTTAAATTTCATTTTTAAATAAGCAAAATTTGTTAAATTTCATTTTTAAATAAGCAAAATTTGTTAAATTTCATTTTTAAATAAGCAAAGTTAAAAAATTTAAAAGTTAAAAAAGTTAAAAAATTTTTTTTCTTCCAATTTTATAAAATAGAATGAAAAGGCTAAAAATTTTATTCACATATTTATCAAATTTATCTCATTTTTTTCACTTTTTTTATTCTTCATTATATATAATAATAATATTATTATTTCTTTTCACAAATGAATTTTTCTTAACTTTTTCTACAATCACTAAATTATTTTTAGTTGAATTTTAAAATTATGAATTATAATTATAAATTTTTAATTGAATTAATAGAAGCGGAAAGTAAAAAAAAAATTTTTAAAAATGGTTTGATGTGATAATATTTTATATACTGATATGATACTATTTTATATATTGATATGATAATATTTTACATATTGATATGATAATGTTTTATATATTGGCATGATAATATTCTGCATATTGATATGATAATATATTGTATATTGATATGATTATATTTTAAATATTGATATGATAACATTTTATATACTGATATGATAATATTTTATATCTTGATATGATAATTTTTTATATACTGATATGATAATATTTTATAATTTGTATTCTATGATTAATTTATAATAGAAATTATTTCACTCTGATTATTTCTAACATTTTTTTGTCACATAAAATTTATATTTAATTTTATACCAAACGCAAAAAATACTTTTTCACAAAAATATACGATCATATTTTGTACTTTCTATTACAAATATAATTTCATTTAAAAGAAAAAAGTTGAAAAAAAAAAATCAAATTTTATTTTTACCACTTAAAATACGTGTTTGAAGTATTGTTGAATGTGCCTTTCGTTCATGTTGCGTGTCACGTCGTTGACGGAATTGTTTACCACGTCGTTTATTACTGATAACGCCACTATCAGTAATACCGGATAATAGTGATGGAATATTTGTTGCATTTGTATAAATATTTTTACCACTTTGCATTTCACTATTACTATCACTTTCACTCAT